CTTTACCCTGCTCATCCTGCTCTTTACCCTGCTCATCCTGCTCTTTACCCTGCTCAACCTGCTCTTTACCCTGCTCATCCTGCTCTTTACCCTGCTCATCCTGCTCTTTTCCCTGCTCATCCTGCTCTTTTCCCTGCTCATCCTACTCTACGGCATAGAGTAGGATGAGCAGGGAAAAGAGCAGGATGAGCAGGGTAAAGAGCAGGATGAGCAGGAAAAAGAGCAGGATGAGCAGGGTAAAGAGCAGGATGAGCAGGGTAAAGAGCAGGATGAGCAGGGTAAAGAGCAGGATGAGCAGGGTAAAGAGCAGGATGAGCAGGGTAAAGAGCAGGATGAGCAGGGTAAAGAGCAGGATGAGCAGGGTAAAGAGCAGGATGAGCAGAAAAAGAGCAGGATGAGTAGGGTAAAGAGCAGGATGAGCAGGGTAAAGAGCAGGATGAGCAGGGTAAAGAGCAGGATGAGCAGGGAAAAGAGCAGGATGAGCAGGGTAAAGAGCAGGATGAGCAGGGTAAAGAGCAGGATGAGCAGGGTAAAGAGCAGGATGAGCAGGGTAAAGAGCAGGATGAGCAGGGTAAAGAGCAGGATGAGCAGGGAAAAGAGCAGGATGAGCAGGGTAAAGAGCAGGATGAGCAGGGTAAAGAGCAGGATGAGCAGGGTAAAGAGCAGGATGAGCAGGGAATTAAGAGCGCACAGGCACACAGAGAGCATGCGCAGGGGGAGGGGGGTGTGGAAATGAGCTCAAACAGACAGGTCTCGGCACAATATATATTAAACCAATTCATCCGTTTCTTGTCATTCGTGAATCAGCCTTTATAACTTCAACATGAATACTTTTTCTGCAGTCAAACCCCATGCTTGTAACCAGTGTGATAAAAGCTTTGGACGGCGATATAATCTCTGGCGACATACCGAAAACGCTCATGCTGAAGATGAATCTGAAATGAATGGGGTTAACGATGATTCTGAAATTGAGGTTATTCAATCTGATCATCCTGACGTGGATGAATCGGGCTCGGAAACGGACTCGGAGGTAGAAGATGACGATGAAGATGAGTCTAGTTCTGAATTAGAAGACAATGCTACTTTCCAAGACTGGTTGGAAGAGTCCAAAGAAGCGACTCGTGAAATGTGGAGCGAAAAACATGAAAAGTACATCAACGAGGGTATGGGTGAAGATCAGGCCAAGGAAAAGGCCGATAGGAAGACCCTCTGGGCAGTCAAGCAAATCTTTTTTGACAAGTACAAGGATTTTCTGTCAAGCTACCTACATCTGAAAGATAACGATACTCATCAAGATATTGTGGACAATCTCGAAGAAAAAATATATAAGGGCATTAGCGTACAAAAGGCTCTCGGCAGAATTATGCCTAAACACCAGATGAAATTTGACGGATTGTTCCATCAAGATGAAGAAGACGTCAGCGAGGAAGACAGTGATGATTAAAGACTAGTAGTCAACATTACAATGACGATATAATTGCGAAGAAATACATTGGGACAGACAAATAAAAACACGAGTGTTTTAATAAAGCAATAATAAAGTCAATAAAGCAATAATGTCATAACGTATATACTTTCTGCAGTTGTATTTTTCTTTGTTTATGTTGTCTTATCAATCGTAAAAGCCTACTATCAGTCATAAAATTAGCGCTTGGACACGCCCTCTAAATAACCCCCGTAAAATGTTCGTAGATAAAACCCAGTCATCCTCGATTTTGTAAACAAATCCGGCACGGAGGTACAACTAGTGTTCGGTGCTTTCCTGTACAGACAGCGTTAAAGGGGCACCGTTTTTTCCCGTCGAACACCATTCCCCCCAACCCCCCCCCCCCAAAAATGGTTTCTCACACGTCCGCAAAAAAAGACGAGCACTTTACGACTAAAATCTCAACTATGGATAGGCTATAGCTTAGTTTTGGGGTCGTTCTAGTACGAAATATTACAAAATGCACAATGATGGTTGTGTTATTCCGATACACTTGATCGGGCACTTTTCAGGCCGTAGTTCCCTTTAAAAACCACATGCCCGCACGTTTTGTTATGGCTTTAAACCACTGAATCCATTCCTTATTGTACGCGCCTCTGCAATAGAGCCTAATTGATAATTTAGCCGTCACGGATTAAGAAAACTTGAGCGCTATCTGATCGGACGGCGTGTATACAGTAGTGTGCATGTGTACTAGCAATTGCTCTGGCTGATGCCAAAACCTTCCCTTTTCTACGATCACCGCGCACAGACATATATTTTTACTTGGATGATTCTGGTGGCAGTGTAGAAGAGTGCCATTGGTATTGTATCGATTAACAAGAGGAATATAGGCGCACGGACGGAGTTATTTGTTCCATGATCAGTATGATCATCGAGGGGTGATCGACCACCGGTCTCCGTACAGACGCATGGATTATGGATCGTGGATTTATCATATACCCCCATGGCCGACACAGGCTGTACCCTGCAAGTATGCTGCGGTGAGTGTTTGTTTATAACTTGGAAAACGCAACGTGCCGATACCCATAAACCCAATAAAAATGACTTTAAAATAATTCTTCAAATAGACAATCGTACTCGTTTCAGTCTGATCAACGCAACATTCATTTTTGCCATCTATCGCTGCTTTCTGCTGTCGAGCATTCGGAAATCCAATTACTTTTTGTATCGATCGGATTAACTTCGTAACAATACTAGTGCGCTGACGTGGCACGCGCCCTCTCCCGTCTATTGTTGGGGGATTAAAGATCCGACCAGCTGGTCGTTCACAGGGACTAACGTATGAAACTCATATTCGGGCTAAGATCCAAATGTACCATAAAAATATATATATATTTTTTTCCATACCTTATGCAATCTTTCCCATAGAATTGGTCAAACTGTACCCGGTTCCTTATACCCACACCTATTCCCTATTCATCCCATCCATTCATTAGGTCAAACTGTGCCCGGAATTTCATAACCCCATTCATTCATATTTATATCTACATATTTCCATATTTACATATTTATGTGACCTTTACATATTTCTAGGCTCAAGGTCAAACCGTACCCGACAGTCCCCCTCAACTACTCCCTGGTTTTCTCTAAATTCCCAGTTGCTTGCCTGCATACACACGTGCACACATGTTGGACTTTTGTGTACGCATATCAGGCATTAATCACCACTGTGATTGGACAGCACATCACTGGGCGGGGCTTAATGGATTGGTCTATTCAGGTATCTGAATCAAATTCAAAATGTGTTTATAGATTGTACATGTACTGGTAACATAAGCAACATCTGCAAACATAAAAGAAGACAAACTACCAAATTATTATGAAATAACTTACTTGAGTGTAAGTGAATAATAGTCTCAAGCAACCTGTGAAATCATGGCACCTGGTGTGCTGTCATTTTCAAGAAAAGTGGAATTTGAAAAAAAAAAATACTTACATGTATTTCAAACTGCCCCCATTTACAAAATTTAATAAGTCCACATTTTGTTTGCAATCGGTTACACATCCATGAACGGGTGCAAGCCAGCTAGTTTGGTTCCCTGACCTGACAATTCCCGACGTCTATAACTTTGCTCTGTTTCATTTGGAGTAAGGTTAGGCAACCAGACTACAAAAATAACACTTTTTTTTCTTGTTTTTTTTTGTGTATGAACACAAAATTGTAAACAGGTCAATGTAACAATATGTGCTATAAAATACTAACCCCCAAATCCATCCCTTTGTATTACAATGTACCTTTATATTTGGTGATTTCACATACATGTATTTGCATAAGAGTCAAGTACGTGTACATTATAAACCAGTCTTACAATTACACTTTTTTTTATTAAATGTTCATGCGCTACATCATTACTGTTTTCATGAAAAGGAAATGAAATTTCCCCCCTGGTGAAAAATATAACATTTATGTACATATATCTTGAATTGCATGTACACATAAAAAATATGTACGTGAATGCCAACGGGATGTACAAGTACCTTTATACATGTACATATGTAGACATGTTTTGTGTATGACTGACCACAAGTGAGATTCTGGAGCAAACATTTCTTGGTGTCATGCTGAAAATATTTGTAATTGGTACCAGTAAATTTTGAGAGCCTGATTTTCAAGAAGATTTGAAAATGTACAAAAAAAGAAAAACTAAGAAATTTCTGATCATTGTGTACTAAAATAGAACAATTAATCTTAAATTTAACCAAATTCCAGAAGTCTAAGGCTACTTACGATACTAGGTTCTGTACATGTACATGTGTCTTTTACAATGTTCAAGTCATCACATTAACTTGATTAAAGTCCATTTATGCTTTACATACTCTGTTAAAGTTTTCAAGGAGAAAAATGCCAAGATGTACATGTACGGTAGGGAGTAATGTAATTTGGCCCTGGATGTAATGTATAGAAGTTGCACACTACCACTCATAATGACAAAAACTCATCCCTGATATTGGGTATTAACACGGAACAATTGGATTCCTACATGACATATTGGATTAAACTTCTACATGGAGAGTTGGAGGTGAGAGAGGAAAGGGGGGGGGGGGATGAGCACCATACATCCATGAACCTGTAGAGTGAATGATAGAGGATGGACAGAGCTCCTTGCAATCTCCTTAAGTGCAGCAGGGCATCAAGCTAATTGACTGACCTTGCTGAATCATTCAATGTGATTAAAATGGATTGCAGGGAGAAGGTACTTAGGTAATGGTATTTTTTTGTGAAACTGCTCCATTCAATAGAGTTGTAGTCAAGTCCATCACAAGTCCATCTCAACTCTACTCATAAGTCCATTTGCAATTTTGGTCAAGGGACTTGGCTTGAAATGACTTAACGCGGGCCAAATGTGTTTCATACTCATAGATTTGGGATTTTCAATCGTGCATAAAAATTGTACCCCCACTCCATCCCAACAACTACATGTACAAAAAAGAACTATGTGTAACCAAATGTCCTTTTTTTTCTCTGTCTTCGCACTTTGCTTGTGTACATCCTGTGGTTCTTCAATGACAGTATCATTCTCAGGACCCTGCCATGATGGAACAACTGTCCAAGAACATCACCAGACAAGGACTGACCAATGTCACCCTTAACTATCTCAGGGTAGGTCCATCAAACTCCTCCACCCACCTGGCACCACCCCTTCCCCATTTGTCAGAGGACAATAATACAAATATTGAATACACATTGTACAAATGAATAGTATTTGCATACATGTAACTGTAGTTAAAAGTGAGTATTTAGGGCCCTGTCTTTCTACAGGCATGACAGGAAAATGGGATGTCCCATTCTAAAAGCCTGCTTAACAATCTACCCTTCACCCTTAAGGCATACACATCTCTCTTCAGCAATAATGTTTTTCTTTTTATGTAAACAACTGCTGTAATTTAATGCAGTGATTTGAACATTGGAACTATGGCACCATTCAAAACACTTCAAATTTTCAGTGTTACATGTTATACACCTTCCATTCATTGTGCATTGTAATGCTTTCTAAGCACATGATGACCCCCAATGGACCATACATGTTCATGTACTGGTACATATACTTGGATGATTTGGCATATCTGGCTGATTTTGTAAAAAAGCAATTAAAGTTAAGAAGCAAAGGTTGATCAAGGTCTGAGTTTCAAATATTGAAGAACTTTTTTATAAATGGCATAAAGAAGATCCGCCATGAACCTTTGGTAGGATGAGCCATGTGTACACAGTGCCACAGATGCCAGTGTGAAAATACCTAACATGTTGATATCAGAAAGAAGACAGAAAGAGAGAAAAATCAAATGTTCTCAGGTGGAAATTTCTGACACTGATGAATTCTGGTAGTCAGGGCTTTTCCATTGAATAAGTTAATTGACCCCTTCCACAAGGCCAGATAATTTCATCAGACGGTGCTACTCAATTGACTTAAACCTTTTTGAATATAAGATTGGCTTTGACCGTGGAATCTCATATTTTGCTCATTTTGAAAGTGTTTTCAGTTATATCATTTCCGTGAAAAGTACATGTGGCTGGAGCCTCGCCTGTGAGATTAATTATGCAAATGGTCTGCATTCTTAGAATTGGTGTATGATGTTTCTGTTATTCATGGTTTGTTGGTCGGTTTGTGCCCCTTTAGCTGTGTGTGATTCTAGAGCCAATGCAAGAGCTGATGTCTCGTCACAAGGCCTACAATCTCAGTCCCAGAGATTGTCTCAAAGCAACCCTCTTCCAGAAATGGCAGCGGATGGTTTCACCCCCTGGTATGTACATGTACTCTACTAGTCTGACTATTTAGGACTCTCAATACTGTGTATTGAGACTCCCAAAACTTATGATACTGAAAAACATGCAATTGCAAAGCAAGAAAATAAAATAACCAGCCTAACAGTTCTGTAGCACTGGGCAAGTTAAATGTCTCAAAATAAACAGCTGGTACCAAGTATTTTTCTCTACTTTACCTCCACATTTATGCCACCAGACTATTTTCAAAAAAACTTGGATCATTTGGCAGTCTAGTTATACACCGTAAATTTAAAGCATAAAATTTGCATGCCAGTTGGTGTTTCAATCCTTGCAAACTATTCTGACATAAATTGTGTATTTTTCTTTTTGTTTCCAGCCGAAACAAACAGAACACAACCTAAACGTCGGAAGCGCAAATCTTCAAACAGCTTGCCAGCAGGAGGGAGCAGCATGTCCAACAACATGTCAGGAGGCTCCAAGAAAAAATCCTCTCCCGGCAGCTACAGCATGTCCACAACACCAGAAGGTGTACCCACGGTAAGAAGCCCCCCCCCCCCTCGCAAATACACACAACACATTTAGTTGCTCTGCTCCTCCTTAAGCAACTGCCTCATTGTGTCTGGAGAAGAAATCAACACAAAAGGAATTTTTTTCAGGTATCAGGTTTAGATCATTTTGGTCATTATTATGAGAAATATTCCAAGTTATGTCACTTGTTCTAAAAATGTAACTTCAAGATGTAGGTTTCTTGAAGCATTTGTGTGACATTGTGGAAAATCCATTTATCTCTGAATAGCTGATACCTGTACTACCCTCTAGTGGCAACATACATGTATGGTTGCAAATTTGGACTGGTTCACCCCTGGAAACAAAGTAATTGTATTTATTTCACGGGATATTATGCTTTCATATCTGTTTTGGGATATTGCAAATTCCAGTTGGTTGACAAATAAGTTGTCTGGATATTCACATTTATCATCTTTAAAAAAAAAACTCTACCAGAAACTTCAATGAGTCATGTTATTTGTCACTCTAGCGACCATATTCGATATTCAATAAGTAGGTGGTTTTTGTTTACATGTAATACCATGAATGACACAAACTACATGTGCACAGCCAGTGTTACATCCTGAATAGTAAATAGAGCAATAAAGATGACTTAAGCATGATGTTAGTGTGAAGAATGAACAAACAAGTAACCTGTAACCATTTGGTAACCGCCTTTGCATGGACTAACAAGCATGTCCAATTTGAGCTTGATCTAATCATTGCTTGGATTTTAAACTTCTTAACTCCACCCCCTTAAAAAAAATACCCCATATTTTTGTTATTTATTTCATGTTTCTCCTGAATTTTGTAAGGATTTTGTCATCCGTCTGTTTCAAATTTTACAGCCCGTATTGTTTTAAGATATTTTTGAGAATGTCTACTACTTTCGATGTGGATAACATGTTTGTTTACATGTATGAATTTGCAACCTGTTGCTCGAAGGCAACTATTTTTGTTTCATTGACATTTATGTTTGATGAGTATGTTTTTTCATTTGTATTTTCTAGACCCCGACTATTGCCCATCCATTTATGCATGTTCCATGCCTTAGCTCCAGAGATGATACTTGGTGTTTTGAAAATTGAATTCTGAAGTTGGGATTCTGAAGTTGGTATAAAAACATTTTGGAACAAAAGTAATTTCCGAACTAAAAGAGTGTAACTTAAAGTTGGCAAAAAGAATTTTCAGAGTTCTTTGCTTTCAGTCCAAGTTACATGTACCTGTACATCCTTTTCAGTGGTTTATATTTTTTATGATTTTTTTCACCAGCTATTTAGATTCTATTTTCTCATTCTCAAAATTGATTATTTTGGGTGACAAACCTAATTGGGCGGTATTTATACAGAGTCAATGGGAAGTCTGGATCTTCATTCAAACGCAGTCTTTTTTTTAATGTAGCTGTATTGAAGAAAACTGGCTTATCCCCACTCTTGAGAGATTCCAGAGTATTGACATCAAATTGTCCCAAGAAAATCAAATGTTCCAGTGAGCGTATCATCCCTGACTTTCACATCCCACTGAAGATGACAACAAAGAAACCATCTGAGGGCTCCCTCTTGTTTGTGTTTTTTGGTTATTTTTTTTCTCCTCCTTTTTTCCTCGAATGCTTTCTTTTTCCCTCTTGTAGCGTAACGGGCCGGCGGGCCGACACAAGAGCAAACGTAACCGTCCGAGCTCACCACAGCCCGTCCCCATGCCTCCCTGGATTCATGAGTCCGTCTCAGAGGTAGCTGACCATCCCAAAAACTTCTTCTCTATCTTCCTGTCTTAAAGCCTGACGGCCAGCTAAAAATAAAAAACAAATGAACAATGATTAAAAAAAACGACTTGTTCCTCCAGTGTTTGGTGATGTATTTGGTGTATTTGCTTGGCATGGGTTTTTTTTTAAATTTTTTTATTTTTTTTTAGGGTGATTTATTTGTTTGTGCATGCACGCTTGCTTGCATGCTTTGCTTGCATGCTTTACTTGCATGCTTTGCTTGCATGCTTGCATGGATGGGATAGATACTTTAACTTTGACCAACTTTTAACTTTAACTTTGTGCATGGAGTTAACTAATAGTAGTAAACAGAGTATGGGACTCAGACTTACAATCATATTTTGAAAAGATTTTCGCTCTGAACAATTAAAACTTAAAGCCAGTGGAGATCAGTAGATAAACTGACAACTTGGCCCTTTATTGTGAAAGATGTACGAAGGGCATCATATATTACAGTTTGATAAATGGCCAATGCTACAATTCCTCATGGCTAAAGAAGTGCATGAAAAGTATCAAAAGGTGAAGCTAGGGTCGAGTATGGGACATGTACCTACTTTTTAACACCAAATTTATGTCAACGTATTTGTACTTACATGTTGTACCATAAGGGTACTGTACATGTAACTTGTAAGAATTAAAACAGTTTGACACTGTTTATTGTGACATCTCGAAAGTAATTGTGCTTACATTCTTGTTTAGTCCCCAAGAACAAAATTTGAAAATGCAGTTTTGTTCAAAAAGTTTTGATATCTTCCACAAACACCATGCATTCTAAAGGAACTTACTCAAACAACTTTTAGGCTAATAATGCAAAATGTCAAACCATGTCAGGTATGTCAGGGAGTGAGTTTTCAAGGAATGTCACTTTTTCCTGGTAAAATTGAAAAAAAAAAGACAACCAAAACTACTGTTGAAAGAGGTCATTTTGAGTCCCATACCATCTAAATTTGGAAGCTAAGGCCAGTTTAATAATGAATTGAAGGAGTAATGCTCACTAAACTAATATTGATTGACAAGTCTAGCCAAGAGGAGAAGAATTTAGGAACGGTAAAAGTCTTCAAAGCAGTCATCAAGCAAGAAAGTGTCATTGTATAACAGTAAATATTTGTGAGTTGAAATTGGAAGGATAAAGTACATGTAGGGACTCAAATATCCAATTTGTGCAGGGTTCTTGTAAGCCTGTAGTCTGGTTCTCAGACCAAAAGATTCTGACCATTTTGACAAATCTAAGGTCAGATAGCCGCCATGTCTAAAAATAAACACGGTGGCCCTTTCTCAAAGCTTGTTTTTTTCTCCGTCTTCGGCCTAATCTCCGGACTTAGAACCATTAAGGCCTCTATAAATATTCAGACCAAATGACAAAACAAACAGCTGGTCGTCACATCATAGTGTTTGATTTTCTCTAGGAAAATATTTGCTCGTGTTGAGCTGAAATCTACAAAGTTAGTGACCAAAATATCAGATGAAGCTGAAATGGAGACAATTAAAGCCGAGTTTCGGACAACCCCCCCCCCCCCCCCCCCCAGGTAAACATTACATTCAAAAATATGTGACACTGCAAAGCCCGTCTACATTGGACTTTCAATACAGATGCTGGGTAACATGCCTCAGACTGAAATTTTTAAATGCAAGCAATGAATATATGAACTCAAAATTTGCAAAAAATTAAACAAGCATGCAGGTAGGTATATTGTTGGTAAATGAAAATCATTTATGCCAGGAAATACCTGGGCTATATCCGAGAGTGTCAATGAAATGCATTCGGTAAAACTTGGGACATGTTCCTGCCATGTTTGGCCGCGTCAACGTATTTTTTAGCCATGGCTGTTACCTGACCTAAGATTGATCAAAAATAGTCGGAATCTTTCGGTCATGTAACGAGACTAATAAGCCTTGGACGATGGCACCAGTGTTTTCAGGGAAGTACCAATTTGCCAACCAGGTCGCCAACTAAGATCAACTAACATACTGACACAACAAATAACTCCATTACTGGTATTGTCTTGCCTTAACCCTTTAACCCTTGCTCTCTTGGTGTCATTCAGATAATGTCACTTTGACTTTCCAATGAACTCCAGCTGAAGTGTCTAGAGGATGTTTTGACTCACCAGCCAAGTGAGTTTGGGTGTAGATAAAAATGTCATTGGAGGGTTTGTCTGCCCGTCTGTGTTGATACTGATTTGGAGGGATAAGGAGGGCCTGGAGACTGGAGAGCTCACTACAGACTGGTTTACTTTGGTCGGTTTACTGCTTCTGATGGAGTTCTGAACATGAGAATTTATACTGTGGAAGATATTGGAAAGCAGTGCCAAAAACCTAGGGAAATCACTTTGGAGTGAATTGGATGGTATGGTACCGGTAGAGCAAGGGTTCATGACTATGTCGGCCAGAGGCAACTGCATGTATAGACTGAAATGCCCATACTTTGTTAATTTAAAACACCTGAAAACATTTTCCGAAGGTTTAAAAAAGAACATGAAAATGAATGAGGAGTTATTTGATGTTACGAAACACAGTGAAATCATTTTGAACTTTTGGGAATGTGCTGAGATAAAAAATGCTATGGCATCACAAATGTGCATTTGCATTCCCTTTTATGCCAAGTTTGAAATCTTTGGGCAGTTTATAATAACACAGGCATACAACAGTTGACACTGAATGTGGCCATTGAAGGATTAAAACATATCAACTCTAACCCTATAACCTGCATCATCTTGCTAATGTTTGACTGACTTGCATAAAGTGTGTGACAGCTGTACAGAAGGAACAAGTCGTTTTTTCCTTTATATTTTTAGTTTCTGCTCTTTGGGCCCGCCTAGCCCTTTCCTGTCTATCAGATACCCACGTGTATTTGTGTATTGCATCATATTACCACTAGCCCTAGGTGAAACCCCCCCCCCCCCCAAAAAAAAAACACCCAACATTTAAACAATGCATGTAATAATATCTAAAGGTAGTGGTTGTTAACTGAACAACCTCAGAGCTTTTCCCAAAATGTATTTGACTGTCTGTAATGGACAGTTCAAAACGGTCTAATGAATAATCCACAAACCCCCAAATAGTTCTGTAGACATGGGTGTCACGAGGGGGGGGGGGGGGTAAATTGGTAAATGACAGTCTAAAGCATCCTGTAAAATTATGGCACCTGGTATACTGTCATTTTCAAGAAAAGTGGTATTTTTGTATCAGTTTCCAACGCTGATCGGCCGATCAGCGTTGGAAACAACTGGCTTTTTTTCAAATACTGGCCCCAATTGACCATTGTACTTGTTTGCAATCGATTACAAACCTATGAACGGGTACGAGCCAGCTAGACTGGTTCCCTGACCTTACAATTCCCCAATGTATGTAAACTGCTCTGTTTCTTCTTATATGGAGTCAGGGAACCAGACTACAGGAAAATGATCGTTTTTCTTGGTTTTTATAGCATTTTCGAACCCAAAACCTCCAAAAAGTCAGTGTAACTATATTTGCTTTATATTTCCAACCCCCCAATTCCATCCATTTCTGAAAATTACAGCAAAAGCAAATGATGTATATTCCCTTTAAAAAAACCAAAATTTTTATGAAGTCGTGATGACACCGCACACTTTTCCAAATTTTGTGCATTTAGCAATTTTTGTTTTTACAAGGTATAAGTTTATTGTTCAAAACTGTAAAAATTCATGCAAAATCACATGATGATGTAATCATGATGTCTCTTAAATTGTCATCTATAACACATCCCACACACTTTTCCAAATTTTGTGCATTTAGCAATTTTTGTTTTTACAAGGTATAAGTTTATTGTTCAAAACTGTAAAAATTCATGCAAAATCACGTGATGATGTAATCATGATGTCTCTTAAATTGTCATCTATAACACATCCCTGTATATGTACATACCAAGTTTCAACCTTATCGACCACGTACTTTAGAAGATACAGGGCTTCAAAAAAATGCAGCTTTAATGTGACATCACATGACACATAAGGACGTCATCGTGACAAAATTGTGCGGGACACATCTTTAGATGATGGTTAATGACTATGCAAAGTTTAAAGTTGATCGCATATTGAAAAAAGCTCCCAAAGTGGTTTGTAGAGTAAAAACGTGTACAAAACCTATGGGAAAAAGTGGAAGGAGAAGGGGGAAAAAAGAAAAAAATACCCTTAACAAAAGCAGAAGCTGTTTGTTCCCAATTAAAATTGGAAACAGCTAATAACAACAATTACAGTAAGTAAATATATTTGACTTTGTGCCAAACATGTATAACCACTTTTAAACAAAATGTCTAAGTTGTCCACTCCATCTTTCTCTCAGAAATGAGTTAACACCAAATTTTTTTTTGCATTTTTTTTTAAATGAAATTTTGAAGAAAAATTGATGCTGAATGTTAACATTTGTGCACATAAAATTGAAAAAACAAAACAAAATCAGTTGATAAGAACAAAATGACAGTTCTTTGAAATTTATCACTTCAGTTGTTGCACTTCAGAAGATACCCAATGAACACCAGTTGTATCTTGCCCCTTTCTATAACTTGGAGGTATCAATGGTCTTAACTGGACTGGAGGAAATATGACTAAGTTGGAATGTGGGATCATTGAGCAAAAACACACACATGGGGTTAATAAGAGGCTGGCAGAGTGGATGAGACATCGCAGTGTTCTGCCACTGACATGCCATTCCTGGACTAAACTTAACCCTCCCCTTTTATAAATTTTTGGTGCGGGATCATATTGACTTAATTAACATCTACTTTTACTTACTTTCCTTTTTCTTTTGACTTTTGTTTCCAGATATGACTTCTGTTTAATTTGCTTTTGATTTTGTGCAAACTTGCAGCTTTTTTTTTGTCAGTGTGGAAGTCTTGTACTTATTGATGAATGTTAAATTTACTTGTGTATAAAAGCATTACAAAAGAAAAAGACAAATTGGCAGAGTTTGGGAGTGTTTGGTATTATTGTGTATACACTTTGGGGGTCCAAACGGATTTTGGGATGCTAACGTGTTGAGAGTTGTAGCATTCTACTATACCTACTCGGGTACTTTTTGATGATGGTTACAGTAATGACTGCCTCGTAAAAGTACTAGTACATGTATTAGTATGATTCAAGGATAAAGTACAAATTATTCAAATTGGGGAGAGTGAAGTACTCCAGTTAAAGTCCTATTTAAAGTCCTTATTTAAGTAGTATAGTAGTTTTGAATGAATATTCTTAAGTACAATGTTTTGAGTATGAGTGCTATGTCTGTAGCCTCTTGTTGCACTGTTGCAATGCCTGTGCTGTGGTGTCTCTTGATGTCAAGTGGTTGGATCAGTGTTCTTTTGGCAGCATATGTTGACTTGTCTGATCATTTGTCATTCTGTCTTGTATATAGTACACCTCTTTATGCAGTCATGAAAACTCTGGAAATCAAAAGAATTTAGGAAAAACTGTATCTCTTGCAAATCTAAATGATGTGAAAACATTCATATTTTGTGTATAAAAAGAGAGCTATTTGTGTGCACGGTATAACCATTCAAATTCTATTCTAATCCATTGGTTGTGCCTCTCCCTTTTCAACTTTGGAAGATTTTTTTTTTCAATCTGAACATCCAAGAACCATGGAAAAACAATGTTTGGTCAAGTAAGGGCTATTTGAAAGTGTGGTGTGGAACAAAATTTCCAAAAAACAAACAAATTCTAGTCTGTCTCAGAAAAAATTAGTGTAAGTGACGTTGCTCGTTTTTTCTTAGGAAAGTTTCATTATAGGTAATGACACCATTTGCAGACATTCAAAAATGAAATTGCCAAAATGTTATGAAATATCTTAACAGGATTAAGCACCTAGTATGCTGACATCTTCAAGAAAAGAGGTATTGCCCTCATTTCCTTGCAGTGGTGAGGACCAAACAAGGTCCAAGTACTCGGACTCGGCTTTACAAAACTTGTACTCATAGGTCCAAGTACTCAAACCCAGCTTCACAAAACTTATACTTGAAGGTCCAAGTAGTTGGACTCTGGTACCTGTACTCATTCTCAAGGGTCATAGTACTTGCATGCAAGTAGTACTCAATAGCTTGGCACTCAGCAGTGCTTTGTATTCGGTTACAAGTATTCGACTACGACACTGATCATACCGCTAGTCAAAATGTATGAATGAACATTTTGGAAGCGAGGGCTTTCAACAGAAACCTTACTTTGCATCGACAAAAATGACAATGCATTTAACACAGTTTTCTCAAAAAGAAATGATTTTTACTGAGCTGAAATTTCGATGGGTTAGTTTTTTAATAACCTGCTTCAGATTTATCGATAGATATTCCTTACATCGGTAGAAATACATTGTTTGTAAATGGTGTCCATTAACTGTGCTAAGCAGACTTTAGCAGAGAACCAGTGAAAGGTATCACACATTTTGGTTGGCTACGTTGTTTTGGTTACCTTGTTTTGGCTTACATTTCTTTCTTCAATGTGTGTGTACATGATTATGTAGCTCAGTCTTCTAGCTATATGGATATTTGTTCATACATCTTTCTGTTCTTGTCTTGCTTTCTAGAATTGCTTTCCATCTGACTGTATTTGTCAGTTTCTTTCTCCACACTTCACTGTTATTTCCATTTTCACCTTTTCCCCCAATTTGTCTGTTTAGTCCAGTGCCCTCTTTTATTCATTTAATACAATGACAAAGCATTTGTTGGTGGTGGTTTGTGATGCAGCGAATATTGACAAAACAGTGACATGTTGCTGGCTCGTAGCTTTCACAGTTAATGCATTAATTGCTTTTTTCCCCATTACTCTCCAAGTGTTCATTTTGCTAATGTGTGATTAATACTGGATTGAAGTTTTGAATTTAATTGGTTTGGATGAACTCCTTTGCAACATTAATGCAGTTACAAGTACATAGGAGGGAAAGAATGAATGATACATTATTTTGTAAGCCAATGTCAGAAGTTTGCACATATCTCTCAATTTTGGGGTAAGGGGCATGACACAAATTATTGCATTGCAGTCTGAAGGGCTGATTTACTACATAACTTTTCCTCCAACCATCAGGGTATCTATTGAAGTTGTTTCTTTGAAATCCTCAAAATTGAATTCAACTTCCTTGTTGCCCTGTCTTTCAAAGTAGACAAACAGGTGTAAAGGTCCCTGGACTGGTTCCTCTTGTGCTGTATCTGATTTACATGTCTAGACTCTAATGTGTTGACTCTGTACATCTCAGGTGCATTACCCTAACATGCCCTCTCTCCTTGATACAAATCCACCAAAAGGTATGCAGGATATTTCAGTATGAGAAATAGTACCCAACCAATTTGCTTTGAGGGGCCCTGAGGTGAATTTTTCTTAGGAACTCATTTTGTGCAACTTTCTTTTCCTCTTAAATGCATGAAAACTATTTGACATCCCTTTTTGGTTGATTTCATTGAAAAGTGCACTTCTTTAAACAGTTTAAATCGCCAACGCTTTTCTGGACAACTGAGGGCGCTATTGCTGTAATGTCAATCAGGAAGACACTGTCCGGTTAAGAGGGTTTCTGTTCAAATTGTGATTCCAAAAATTTGCTCATTGAAATCATTTTTGAGAAAAGCTTGCTCATTGGCTTACTGCGAGTTACTGACACAACTCGCCAAAGAAAAGAAAAAGTTATGACAGCAAAACGTCCAAAAAATGTTGATGCTGAACTAGCTGTAACATTGAGGTTTCTGCCTGAAATGACATCACACTTTTCTCATGACTATGGGAATTCACATGAGCATGTAAACCAAAAAGGCACCGAAATACCTTTGAAATGGCAAACAATAAGGTTAAATGGGACACAAAGGTGCATTACACTTTAAAAAAAATTACATTGCATGGCCCCTTTAATACATGTACATGGGGCTTGCTACCCCTCAAAAGGTCAAGAACATATAATGTACTTTGCGATTCCTGCACACTGGTGGATTTGGAGGATTCAGGGGACTGAAATGCATAGTGTTGTTAGATGATGAAAGCATTATGTTAATTGTTTTGGTCCTGCTTTTTGTCCCTTTTAACCCCAGGATGTAATGGTGGTTGGAGAGCCTTCCCTGATGGGTGGGGAGTTTGGTGATGAGGATGAGCGACTGATCACTCGCCTGGAGAACCAACAGTTTGATTCAAACAACGGTATGGACAATGAGGAGGAGTTTGAAGCTGGTACCGGCAAGCGACCGTCCTCTGGTGGACCAGGTTCCTGGGCCTCTGCCCCTGCTGACGTCAAACCAACGGTTCCAGTTACCCAGGGCCAGGATGAAAAAGCAGCCTCTTCAAATTCAAACTGAAGCAAAGAAACCTAAACAATAATCTTAACACCCAACAAACTGTTCACAGAAATCCAGTCTAACCCCTCCAGAAGTTCTGTGGCAACTCTTGTTGCCTTGCTTTTCTTTCATCATTTAAACCACAGAGGGAAACTGAGTATTGCCCTATGAACAAAGACACTGTCCATGCTAATTGTAAATGTAATGTATAATGAATGGCATAATGAGAAGTGCCTGGTTATTCAGGAGCTTTTTTTGTCTGTTCTCCACCGGGGATGCAAACGTTTGTTGTCCTTACTCTCTAGAATCCCTGGAAACTTGATTGGGATGTCGGTCACCTGGTCCTAAAATAGGATTGGATGCAATTATCTCATTAAGAAAAAGCAAAGCAAATGACACTTGTGTGTTTGTTTCACAAGGGATGCTATGGGTTTGTGGTTGATTAAAGTGTTAACCAGTTCGCGCTGGAGGCCGTGTATACATGCAAAAGTTTTGTGGTTTTCGGAACAGATGACAGATAAACACACAGAGAGCGAGGCTGGAAATATCTGTCAGCGACCCCCTTGCAGCGAGTGAGGCCAGAAATATGAGTGTGCTGCCCGAGGGTGATGGCTTCAACCCGCCTGGCTTGAGGTCGAGTGAAAAGTATTCCTGCTCCTCGTTCTGTTCTTGTTTGTCAAAATAATCCTGGCGTGAACTGGTTAATTAATTGGTCATCACATTCTACTCCATACACAGGGTGCCAACCAGTGTATACATGTGACCTGCTCTTTGCTGCTTGGCCACACAACAGTGTCATCCACAGTTTCTGCACAGAGTCAGTAGTTTGATGGCAAATTATTTGGAAGGGAGAAGGGTGTATTGGAAAAAAAGTGAGGATTGATACGTTTATTATGTTTTATTGGGAGTGGGTTTGGTGTCCTTGAAAAGGACAATTTTTAGGGAAGGATGTTTTAGTGAGTCACCTACACTGTTGAAAAGAATTGACAATACATATGTTGACCTGATTTAAAAAAAAACAAAAAAAAAAACTGTTACTGATATAAAATAACCAAAGCACCTTCAGGATTGCTGCTAAGTTCATGTATTTTGATGCATTGAATATGTATTGCATATTCAAAATTTCAACTTCAAAACATGCAGATTTTAAAAGGTGGTCCATTCATTAGCAAACATGTTCTTGCAGTTTGCAGAAATATTTTACACTCATTTTACAACATTTGGCAGAGGAAAGATAGTTATAAACAGAGGGCGCCACTTTCTTATACAAACTCTTTATTCATATTTATTATACTGAGTCAAAAGTTAATGTGTTTTTAGTTTTGTTCCTGAAATTACTTGTTTTCCTCTAGTCTTAGGGTGTTTCTGTGTGTTTTTCTTATATCAAGAGAGGTGTGTTCCCCCAGGAGTCTGGAAACACCTGTTTAAAGTATGCATACTCCTTTTTAAAGTATGCATGAGTAATGTTTTTCAAGAGCTGCAAGATCAACTAAGGAGGTCAAGTCATCATGTTGACTGCATTGATGTTAAATATCAAGACGGATGGTGAACAAACAAACAAATCAAGTTCGATTTTTGACTGTTCCCCATTGTTCAGTTTTCCTATATGACGGTATTATGGAACAGAGAAGATTTTGGTTCGTAACTAAGCAATCTGTTTAAAACAAAAGTCTTGTTTGAAAGGTTTGGTTAAATTGGGGGGGGGGGTTGGTCTTGTGAATTGCTTTAGGTGATGGGGAATTGGAGTAACTTCTGTTTACAAGCAAACTACTTGTGTTCTTTTCTGCAACAGAGTGGACAGAAAAAAATAGCTCTTTTTTTACAGTAGCAGGGGTTCCTTTATTACACCTATTTACAATTTACTGAAAGCCATTTATCTATATACAATGCAAATACTGCATGGGTTCTATTGATGTCCACAGCATGTACCTCTACTCTCCATCCACTTTGTGGAACGGGGAAATTAGGGACTTCAGACAGTGTGGCAGTTTATCACTTCTGTTTCATTTAGTATTTTTTCTTTTTTAAGAACAACTTTGGCCTCACATATTTGGACTTGTTTCGGCTTGGGACCCCAAATAACCTGATTCATACCAGGAAGCAAACTTTAAACCTTTTAAGACAAAATATGTGAGAACACCAGGTAAAGAAACCTGCTTGCTGTGCTCTCCAACAGGGTTAACTGGTACTCGGTAAATACTTTTAAATATTTAAATATCAGCTACATCGTCAATAATGTCAAACAACTATACTCAACATATTTTAATCCATTAAAAAACTGAATTTGACAATGCCAGATTTTGAACCTTTTTAAAAAAACAGAAATGCTGTGGCATAAGCCTTTGTACATATTTTATAACAATTGTTTATTTCCCCATTTCAGTCTTTGTTTCGTATTTATATTAAATGGATTATTGTAAGTTTTGTTGGAGTAGTTTAGACAAGTATTTGACAAACCTCACCTACTTTTTACTGTATATATTATACAGTATGGGTATAGATAAAGTATTTGTACGGATGATTTGGCATGTGCAGAGAGGGTTTCTTGTTTTAAAAAAAGTCTTCAACCAAAAAGTGAAGAGTTCATAAATAAAAATTCATATGAAGTACAACTACCTGTGGTTTCAGCAGAAGATTCTATAATTGTTTGTAAATGTAGTACTGCTTACTGATCTCACCTGAATGGGATGCTCTAGTGCAATAGTGTGCAGTGTGGTAGTTCACCTTTTGTTTCATTGAGCCAAGTCATTCATAGTAATATGGGATAAACATTTCAAGAATATACATCTATTTACACATTTTTCTGTACATCTTTATCTTTGCAAGGGCAACATGTAGGTCTATTTATAACAAGGATGTTTCAGTGCAGTCACCAATTATTCCAAAACTGTTTAATATTAATGAGGGGGCCTTGCAATGGTTTATAATTTGCAGAAAGACAAAAACAAAACAAAAACATCTACTGGAGCTTCGATAGTTGTGCATCAAGGGATTAAAAGCTTACATGGTGCACGCTACTTTTGTGTTTTTAAGTCCAGTTAAAATTCCATATCCTTCCTCCAATATATCCCCGTGTGCATCCTGTACATCAGTGCAAATTTAATATTGAAAATGTTGATGGGTCAATTTTGTTTATACCTCTGAGGTGTTCATTATTTTCCACTTGCGTCTCAGTTATTATGTTCCTAATTTAAAAGCTACCAGACCAAAGCTGTCCAAATATGATGGCAAAAGCTCTACAAATATATGTTCTCTCGGTTTTTAGGCGATAAACCTGTTGCGCTTCTTTTTGCCCATGTAGTTTCGTCTCTGGATCTTCATGTATTTTTTGGTCTCCTTCTTGATGCGGGCTTTGGAACACTTTTTCTGTGGCTTGGTTAGCTTGGCTTGGCAGGCTTCCACAGTGATCAGGTCCGGGCAGTCCTGCCCACCATTCTTTGGCCGCTGGATGATCAACCGGAAGCGCCGTCGCAGGCCAACCTTGCAGAGTGTGTCGCAGGGACTCCAGGAACCCCAAGGCGTGACCTCACAGTCGTAGGGAATCACTATCTCTGTGCAGAAGAGAAGTTGAGAAGTGCTTTTAGAATTTGCAAGTAAAACATGGAGGTGTGGTCCTCATAAGGTAAAATCAGAATCGCTGCTGTGGATTTAGGGCACCTATTTGCACGCTGTATTTCCTAAATGGAAGTTATTTCTAAAATACCATAATGGGACCAGGGACTATCCTAAATTACTTTGCTCTTGCTTTCCTGGTATGCCTTTGATATAACTGAATAGAGGAAAAGGAGGGAAACAAAAACAAAAATATACTGGCTTTTGACGGTTAATACTTGAAGCATTTTTGATGGAATTTTTTCATACAAGTTGTAAAGTTTGCCATCAGATACCTCCGGCCAAAAAAAAGTCTTCGGTTTCGAATTAACATTCTTTGGGAAATTTGAATAGTCAAGACAAAAATCAGAGAAAATGGTAATGTCACACCATTCACACACCGTCTACAAATGGTGCCCGACTAAATTTAGTGCAAAATATATGGGAGCCCAGAGAGGCCATATAAAGCTTACACTCTATCGTAACCCATCTAAAAACACGTTAAAATTGTGCAGCAACAGGATTCCAGTCAAACCGATGAGTTTGATGGCTTTGAGACACACCATCTTACATTGAAGAAAAAAAAGCGTGCGCAGACCAGAAACCAGATATTTTTTTTGGCCTTATGAAGAAAACATTGCAAGCTATAGTCTGGATGGGACCCAAACCCATGGCCTCTTGTTTATAACTTAACAACAGTCTTCATGGTCTATAAAGTACCTGGCTCTGTAGGGAGGTCTATCCCTGGAGAGACATTCTCCGGACTGTCCCCCGGCATCTGAATGTCTTCATTAGAGTCCCGCCTGCCTGCCTTGCCTAACCCTGGTACCAGCTTGCCCATCCAAGAGCTGTCCTCATTGCCTGCCTGCTGCCACACCAGTGTCACTCGGGCAATGGGCGGCAGTGCCTCCAGCTTCGGGTAGAAGAATGAGTTTGCTGGGTGGTTGGGGTACTGGGCTGTGATCTGGGTGATGGGCTCCTGGGGGTTGCTGACATAGTCTGGGGAGGTGAAGGAGAAGCCACCGTCTGTGCCGGCATCCCAGGGCTGCAGATCTAGCTGCAGGGGGTCCTTGCGCCAAGAGCCTCCCTCACAAAGGTCTAGGCCACTAATGCCTACAAACCAGTCTGGACTTGGGATAAGCCCCACGGCCAAAGATATCTGCAAGAAATATCCACAGGCCATGATCTAGTGTTGAATTCTGCCTTACCATCCTTGTTAAAAAGGGGACTTCTTCACAACAGAGTACATAACAATATACAAAAAGGACTTGATGGATTAGTGTTAAGTTGTGTTCAAAAAGCCTCTGTACTGATGCATCACACTTTGATTACTTGTGTGCTTTTCTACAGGGCTATGAAACCCTCGTCCCCAAACAGGCTCCCATTAGAAGGCACACTATGTAAACAAAGCGTGATGTCATCAGCACAGAGGGGATGGGTGTGTAGCAGGCATGTGCTATGTATCTCTGCATGATTTTTCCTCTTTTTTTTGCAGCCCAAAGGGGTGGGGTTAGATCCACCACTGAATGGACTCCCATCATCCTCATGCCAGAGTGAGCCACTTTTCCTCAACCCGATCCCTGTTTACTAGGCAGGTGCATCTATAGCCTTTGAATCTCAGTGGTGAAAGTACATTGAATCATTAATTATTGCCTACAAGCTTGTAATTAATTCTTTGGGGTTTCTGTGCAGGTTCATTTCTTAAATGTGAGATAGAGTATAGGGACCCTGCCTTCATTGTTTTATTGTTACCTTGATTTCTTCTCACCTTTGAATGGTCTCGATGCACAAACACTGTAGTGACAGACCTCCCAGTACCAGTGCTTAGTGACTTGGCTGCAAAGACAAACCCATTTGGAAGATTCACCATCTCAATTTGTAGCCCTTTGCCTGATGGATCCTCACCCTCAGCAAAGTCTTTGAAGGGAACGCTGGCCGACCGACCTGGCTCCCACATGCTGTATTGGTCATTGTGAGAGACCCCTGTAATTAGACATAAAGAATGGAGTAATCATTGAGCAATAGTGGCAGGGGATCAAGGATTTTCAAAGGGGCGTGGCAGAGTCATTAAACAGGATTTGTTGGGGGGGGGGGGGGAGAGGGACGAGGAGAGTTGCCCAGTTGTTGAAGTCAACGATATACAGATGCTAATGACCATAAAGCAGTGAACCAAGTTTTGCAATGTATTTATGACTGCAAAAAATAAAGTACTGGTACTTGTCCAGCTACTGTATTTGTAAATAATTAGCACTGGCCAGATGGAAGGCATTCCATCTTGCAGGAATTATAGTACATACCGGGGGATGTAGCCATCCATATGAAGGGATGGTCCCCCCCCCCCCCAGCCCCATCCATCTTTTTGGAGTGATGTTGCAAATCAAGGGCAACAAAGACGTTAGGACCAGTCCAGAAGATAGCTGTGACTATGCCCCATTGCCTGTATGTGCACAATAATATGACTGTAATTATTTTGTCAGTGGCCTGGGTGGAGTTGTTGGGCAGGTAGACCTACAGATACCTGACCGAAAATGACATGCACCAGGTTCCATTTTTTTTTAACCCAAAACCTTTTCAGATACAAATGCAACCTTTCTGAAACCATGCTGAAACTAAAGGGAGGCACGACTTCTTTTATTGATAAGACCCCTCCCCCCCTGAGGAAAATGGAAAGGCCCTTTGGAATGCCTAAATTGTGAGTCTAATCGCCGACAAATGCCAGCGGCTCGTTTACTTTGGCTATCGATGCATGTGGTGTGCACAATTACTGAGCTGAGCGGGACACGTGCTATGAGAAATAATGTATATATGGTTCAACTTCTTTTTGTTTTGTTTTAATTAACTGTGATTCTGCGGGTTCCTAATATGTTCATAAAATTACACAAAAATGTATATCATAAATTTAATTATGTAAGAAGATGGGACACCTATAAGGTGCTATGAAAGTACAGACAATGTCTGGACACCTGTCAGCAGAGGGCGCCCCAACAATCGCCTAATAACTGACTCCTTTGCTCACTTCCAATGGGGTTAACCGTAGGCCTTAATAATTAAACTACAGCTACATGTATAATGATTCGCTCGTCTATTAATTCGCTCGTCCCCACCGCGCAAGCAGGGCGCTGGGAAGGGCTAACGTCTTTCATAAAATTTTGCGATGGAATTCCAGCGTTGCAGAGCATTGTGAGTACCTTGCTACCTTAATCAATGCACGTACATTCAGCGCGCACATGTCGGGGGGGGGGGGGGGGACATCTTTTGACGCTAGAGGGCGTTTTTTTCTTACAAGGCGTGCGTTTGAGGGACGTCAAAAATAGTCATCTGCTAGATTCCTCTTCGTTTTAATAACTCAAAAGAAATACTTTAAAAAGACTCTTCATTGGTAAGCGGGAAATTTGATTCTTTTTTTTGGTGGGCGCATAAATAGAGGGCATTTTGCTTTTGTAAGGCCTGAGCACCCATAAGTAATAAATGAGAAGAAAGAACGTCGATATTTTTGAAGAGCATGGAATTGGAGTATACCTTGTAATGACGGTGGCTAGTGTGGTTTCTTTTAAATGTCGATACCAATCGTTAAATGGACATATACTGCAGAAATGATGTTGGACTACGCAGGTAAAGGCTGGAAGTGCAATTACATGTAATGTGCTAAATGGTCAGAGATAAGTGTCACCTCATAGTACCATGCCTGCCGTTACCTAGCCTTTAGGTTTTATTTTAGTAATTTTCTCCTCCCGAATATCAGTCCCTTTCAATTGTCTTTTACAAAAGCAGATGTTAACAGGTTCTTAACCAGCTCCCACAAAGTTCGAGGCAGAGAATCGAAGTCGGCCAAAACTTTGAGTGTTTTCATATAATTTTGGCGGGTATCGGTCAATGTTTGTGAAAAGTCTACTGTCTGCACAACTCGCTCAACGAGAGTGGAAGGAGCAGCGGTATAGCTGAACAGGGTGACACCGAAACTTTCTGCCCCTACCCGAGGGGTTAATTGTGTTTGACTACGGTGGGAAACCTTAGATACTCCTTGTCTGTGTCCTGTGGGAGAGAATACGGCAGCCGGGCAGCAAAATGGGCCCCCTGATCTTCCGCTCGTCACCTTGGCGGTAACTCGGGTACTTTTGGAGCGGACGTCGATCAGAAGGGGTTGAGTGCGAGTTAAGCGAGCCCCTAGGCGATTGTCATGGGACATGGCCGGAGTTTTTACAGGGGCTTCGCTAAACAAAGAATTGTTTTAAGATGAAATGGATAGTGGGGGATAGTGAAAAAAGAGAGAGACTGAGACAGAGAGACGATGCCGCATATAATACGGTGATCGTGGCACAGCAACACAGCACGGATAGCGGCGCGATTCAGTCACATCATGCCTGGGGTCGGGAGAACTGCAAAGTCTCCCGGCGTGCGCTAGGACGACGCGACATGATCAAATTAGGGTAGAACAACACGACGATTCTCTGAGCGCTCCGCCGACAATTAGCAAGGCTGGCTGGCCTGCCGGGTAGCTTGAGTGTCGTGCAGCATGTGACCTCTCGCCATAGCATAGAGCAGGCCTGGGACTGCACTTTGTGAAGGGTAACGTGTGTAATACCTCCATGCCCATATCATATCCACAAGAGACTATGCAGCTATGAGAACACACATCACACGGTGTCTATTCCATGATAAAACATTTTAATTCATCAACATTTATCATCGCGCCTTTTTAACATTCTACACCAGACGGAATGTGATGCTATGATCAAACAGAAATATGGACTACCCGCCACGCTATTAATAGCCTCTCATTTCTCAAGTCATCCAAGACAGGGTATCATTGAGGATGCCACTGCGTCCATGCGACTTGGTGTCTGGTGCTCACCCAGGTTTACCCCTGCCCTAGGCCGTCTGGAAATGTCGACAGAGCATTGTTTTCTCCCCCGATACCCCCATCGGCCCCGATGACTTCACCACCGCGTCAAGTCCAAATGCCAGCAGCTCTTCGCGCGAGCGACGGCCAGGAATGAACTCGAGATGGAGACTAGTACGAGAAGATCTGATGGCAAACAGAATCTGAGGCTGTGTTCGATCGAGCGCAAGCAAAAACAGGACACCTACGACCAAATTGGTTAGGCATATACATTTGTAACACGTACAAAACTCGTATTCTAAAATAATCTTCCTTTTCTAAAGAAACAAATAAACTGAAAACAAATTGAAAAAAACAAACAAACAAACAAGCAAACAAACACCCCAACACCCGACAAACAATTTACCAAAAAACCCTCAAAAACAATGAGACGTAACTTGACACCCAATGACGTCATCGTGACGAAAATCTTTGGCATACATCTTAGGGTGGTTGCATATGTGTGTCCAAGTCCGAAGGCAATCGGATTCACGAAATCAATGTGCCAAAGTGTATGGGTAGAAGAAAAACATGTACAAAACCTAATAGAGACGAGTCTGAAAAAGAAAAGGGGGGGGGGAAACAAACTTTTTCCGAAAACAAGAGCCGTTTCGCCTGAGTTGCCGAAACGGCTAAAAACCACCCACATTGCATTATAGTGCGAAATCAGCTGTACTGAAACAATTTCCCGGTTCGGCTATACGTCCTGCGGTCTGACTACAGACGTCAATATGCATTTCTGGTCTCATCGGCCGCATTGTGAAGAACTTGGTTTTAACATTCTAATATTCATTGTTAGCTGTGACGCTGAAGAGTAGCCATGATTTTGAAGCCTTATATCAATACAAAGGGACTTTCATTCACAAGAAGAAGCGTTCAGCCCATTGCGATAGTTGATGAGTGTTGCTTTTAGTTTGTGGGCCCAAGGCCAAGTTTGCATTAGGGTACACAGCAGGAAACCCGGAATCATTCCCAGTGCCTGGGTAGCCATAGTGACTGGGCATAAGGCCTCGGTCCACCGTCGATTTGGCAAAAAATCATCCAAATCTGGAACGCGTATGGGGACTTTGCAACATGCGGTTTCGAGATATAAAAGTTAAAAAGAAATGCGATGGGTAGGAAAATGTGTTAAGCATTAGTTTTCCGGGCAAATCCATCGGGTATATTTGGCGTAGTTGGATCAGACTGACCTTTGTCTGATAAAACTGTTCGGCGGAAATTGACAAGGACCACGTGCATATTGCACATGACGGCCCTGAATAATGTCAAGACTTCGCCAAGTATTTATTCATATTAAAATGTTAAACACCTGAAATTGTGAATCAATCCGTAGGCCTATACCTTCATAAAATATGTAATGAAAGAAAGATAGCAAAATGATAAAACTGGATGAGGGCGGACAGGCTATATAAAATGAGCTGTTACATGTCACGTGCATCCTTGTCTAAGAAGCAATTTGCATGTGCAACCAGGGCGGAATTTTTGAACAACCACAAACTACCACGTGGCGGACGTTCTTGATTGCTCAGTCGACAATATTTGGAGCTGAAAGCTGCAGTTGAAACTGCGTATAATGTGCTTTACCCTTAAGCTTGTCAGCATAATGAGTGATAATTATGTCCTCTGTGTCGTAGAAGTTGGTTCGATTAACATCTACCGAGAAATTATAGGTTTACAGACATATTGAGGAAGCTTTAGTCCCCTGAAAGAGTGCAGAAACTTCCAATTAAGAACGTGAGGAGGATGAAGCTGGTCATCTAGAGTAAGGTTCTGTACTTTTCAAGTTCAAATGCTGCACACATGCAGTGAGTCAAAATGACTCGGCTTGTTTTATCATAGAGCAAGGAACATCTCCTAGCTCCATGTATGTTTTAACCTATGCATGTTGATTAGTACTCCAAATGATGGCCTTTGGAGTTTCTTCAGATACGAATTATATGTAAAGCATGAGGTATAAAAGACCCATCTCAAAGTATCTATAATGTTTCCTGTTCATCGACTGGACACCTACCAAAATACATACGAACCATCCTGCAAGGTGTCATACGAGTACCAGGGAACGTTTTATATAAACAGAAACCACCACGAGTAGTGTAACTAAGAATTATTTAAGTCAGACTCACCGATTAACGTGGACCACTGTGCGTTCTTGCGGTATTTTGGGAAGCTCTTTGGAAAAGTCCGTTCGCTCCAGAGCCCCTGGAACTCCAGCCGATAATTGGCCATCTCCTCGCCACCGCAAGCCGCGATCACCTCAACCTGGAAGCTCCCAACAACCAGAAGCAAGCTCAGCAGCTGCATTCTGCTCCTCTGGGCCATCCTAACAACAATGAAGAAATGGCTATTTATCACTATTCTCGAGGTCGGTGTGCGAAACTGGCGGCCAGAGCTACGGCTCAACCTGGTCCACTTCTATCTCATAATGTAATCGTCCAAGACCGTCAGTAACTGTTCTAGACGAGATTCAGACACGGCCTAACGTCGTTAAAGGTACTTTGGTCTTTGAGAGTTTTTGATTGCCGGTGTACATGCCACTTTTGGGACATCGTTTGGAGTTGTGATATTTAGACGGTTAGGCCTAGACCTCTAACGAATTCGTAAGGAAGTTTGGGGTATCTGCTTATTCTGAATTTACCTGTCTTTCCAGTCTTTAAATGGACACAAATAAGGGGCTTATCTATATATGCTTCACAAGGCCGTCAAACAATAATGGCACCGTAAAGAGGTACAAGATGTTGATATTGATATCGAAATACTAGATTGGTTTTCTTGAGTGCGGGCGAGATAAAGGCTTCCAGCAGCAGAACCCAACCTCAGTGGCATAGCCAGGATTTTTCTCAGTGACAGAGGGGGTGTGCACAGTAAGTTTATGGGGGCACCAAGGGCGGATCCTTAACACGATTTTCAGGAGCCGACTGGCAAGCCGGCTGCTGCAAATTCCAAGAGCGCAGGGATGGGGAGGAGGTGGATCTTATTTTGACGCCAGTATCTTGGAGTGAGTTACGTAAGGGTTAAAAGTTGATGGAGAATGTTACACGTAAGTACACGTAGTACTAAGATTTTAATTAAAAAAAAGCTCCTGAAAGAATGTCGTTAAAATCAAACCCCTCGCCTTGCTAAGTATAAGTGAGTTCAGGGCTTAATAACGTCAGGGTGTTAGATATTCCCCGTGTGGTATAGGACAGCACTTGGCAGTATAACTCAATTTAATCGAGACTGGAGGGCCAACACGTCATCGGGGACTCGAGTAAATTGACCGCAGTCTCCGTCGGTAAACCGCAAACGATACCCAATCCAATCCGAGTCTAATATCATGATCAGAATTCTGTATTCTGTGACGAATAGATGGCGCAAAATGTAAGCCACACCGCCAACAACGAGCAAATACACACACGTACGCACCCATGATTAGTGACATAGTCTCAACTCGAGCCACTCAGAGATATTACAAACTGCCTCATGAGACACCATGCCGGTGACGTCAGGTATTCGATTACAAAACTGCCGTCGCAGATCCGGCCAGGCCGTTGCGTAAATTAATTTGGGATAATTGAAAATTACACCTGACATTTTACGACACGGATTTCTCCCCAGCCTGAAGGTGAATGGATTTTGCAAATGGCTAAACAGTGTTTGTAACTGCAGTCAAGCCAGTCCATCGCCAATAAAACTCAAACTTCACAGAAATCACCAATAAAACTCAAACTTCAACGAAAATGAATTTATCTGTATGATCAACAAAAAATTAAGTCGTGACAAAATGTTCCATGTCTATAATACCAAAGTCCCATAAAGGCCCAACATAAAGTAGTGGGAGGCGTTTGTGTAGCCTTGAATTACTCACTCAGTCAATAGAAAGGTATGGAATCTGTTTGATCGTAAAATAGTCAGTAAGCATGGTGGGATATTCTTTAAAAAAAAATGTTTCTCAACTAAGAATATCATTCATAAGTCTAATACATTCACAAGATTCAATCTGAAATTTTAACTTTTTAACAGAAAACATTTGTTTCCGTATTAAGATAAAGAACAGCCACAGTAATGAAATCCAAAAAAAAAATGGCGTCAAGTGCTTTCAACTCAAGACGAATGTCTTACTTTTGGTCCTATACATTTGATTGTTTAGGTGAAGAGGTGTATTAACAATTGAAACAGGCTTTTAGTTTGAGCCAAAATGGAATAACTGTCGACCGAACGTGTCCTAGACCTACCTGTTTTGTAAACTGCCTTCGTGGGACAAAGGGGTGTCTCGACGAACTGCAAATCTTGGATGATTGGTATTGATGAACGGGTTGGCTTCACGGTGGATCTGAGACGAAGTCGAGCTTTGAGAACAAACGGGGAAACTGCTCCCATAAGTTACAGACCTCGTCTCGTTGGTAGAGGGGTTGTGATGGTGTCTGAGGCTAGCCTACGGATGCGTCAGCCTTTTATGCTAAACCTCACTACGCCCACCCGTGGAGCCAGGGCCGTGTATCAACCATCTGGATCCAGGGACTTACGCACCCGCTGTACGTCAACTTCGGGTTTTTTTCTTGTTGGGTCCCGCACCTCCTTCGCCTCATTGCATGTGGACTTGATGCTGGTCCGCAGTGCGCCCTATAGGATTGCTATAATAACAAATTTGTCGTAATCGAGGGGCTCATTACTGCACAGCGGTACGGCCAGCCGTCAAAGAGCTCATGGTGTGGGTGAGCCCATAGACTGGGCGGTCCTTCCGTGCTGGGGTAACATTATCGGGCTGCATTCATGTTCCTCTTTGTCTCTCTAGCTATAGGACCCGAGGAAGAGTGGTTCATGTTCTAGAATTTGGGTTCAAAGGGGACAGAGACGGAAGGGAGGGATGAGCGGCTGGTCTCCAAATTGCCCCAAACTTGTGGGGAACCAGAGGCTTCTTATTACTTATCAAAATATATTATTTTTTTCGCGGAATTGTTATCAAATTCATTCCAAGGAAATCAGGCATGCTCCGATTTCCAAAGATCATGAAAGAAAACGAACTAAATAGAAAAACGAATGATTGTTTATGCAAAACACAAACACACAATTTACTGACGTTGACGATCAAAAATGGGATGGTAAGAAAAATGAGAAAATCCACTTGCCCCGAAAAAAAAAAAATTGTCGGAAAACAAATGTCCCTGAATAGTAACGATTAAAAATGGAAAGAAAAAAGCTGCTATGTCGATAGGCTCAGATTGTTCGTTTTCGATACGTGCCTTCGGGGGACGGGGGATGGGAGCGCGCGATGCGGCGAATTCGTCCGACATACGTCTAAGGAGCCGAACTACGGCGTCACAGCATCTCTGTATGACGTCATCCGTCCTACCTCCATGCTACAATGAACCGGATTACGCGTCGGTTGTCGTCAGTTCTCAAATGCCACTCTCGGAAATAAAACCGGCTCTATTCCTGTGAAAAAGGACGTTCTTTATAAACACATGATTTTTATGTGGTATGTCAGTTCTGCTAATTTGATGGTAATTGGTTCAGATAGTTCAAGTCCGCACAACCTTGCCACTATATACATAGAAAATGGTCCTCCGCATAGATAAATGGGATGTGAAACATCACACACGCATTTCCAGCGCAACTAAGAAAGGAATTTGGTTTTCTCAGCAATTGCCAGTTTCTGTCAATTGAAGGAGCTCAGCATGAGGTTCGGCTCTTTATTATGCTTTATCTTATTTGGTTTCTGTAAGTTTGACGAGATTCTTATATCATGGGTCAACATCAGAAAAAAGGTTGAGGAGCTATTTAGAGGTGAATTTCCCAAATAAGTTCTCATTGAGATGGCCTTCACTCTCAGAAAAAAAATACACAAGTTGTGTAAAATTTAACCATGTTTTATATGTACTACACGAACTCGCTTGCAATTGTGTAAAAAGTTACATAATGCGTGTTGGGTAAAAGTTTTCTTGACAGTTGTGTAAAAGTTTACTTGATGTATGTGTAAATATATTTACACAATTATTAGGTAAAAGACAATTAAGTAAACTTTACATAACTTTCAGGTGAAATAATACTATATTATCATGTAAAATTGTGTTTTCTAAACGTAAACATTGCAACTACGGAAGCCCATCAAAACACGACCTGTTTCATTTTAATTTTATTTATTCCCTTCCCGAACTGTGCAGCATATCACAGCATACAGCTATAAGTTGGAGAAACCATGACGTCTGTGACAACAGTTACTTTCGGTCTTTGAAGATAACATTTTCCTCAAGCTCTTTGTGATTGTGATACCGTCCCCAATCCATAGCAGTTCTTGGACACTTTGCAAGACAAGATACAACAGTACAGGACGATAACCCATGGCCCACAGCTCGGCCACGGCGAGTATGCACTCATCAATGTATACGTGTACATAGGCCGAATACAGGTCAACTCGTACGCGAACCAACTCGTACGCGGCCAACTCGTACACAGGACAACTCGTGCGTTGACAAAATTCGTACGCGGTCAACTCGTACACAGAATTAAACTCGTACACAAATTATATGTGGTCGACGATTCTTGACTATGTACTTGAAACGGTGTATCGTTCAATTTCTTTAAATTGGCTAATTTTGGCCGGCATATGAGTTGGCTGGCTTAACTTAGTTGGCCCGCGTACGACATGTACGAGTTGTCTCGCTACGAGTTGGCTTACGTACGAGTTGTATAATACGCACAGTGGCCGAGTTAAACACTACTAATTTTAAGAATATCCTGGGGGGGGGGGGGGGTATCGTACAAAGTGTCCAGGCATTTCTGGGGCTTGGGGACGGTATAACAATCACAAGAGCTTTAGAAAATGTTACCTTGAAAGACCGAAATTAGCTGCGGCATATCCCCTCGTTGTCACGGACGTCACGGTGTACTCCATCTTCACTCATGCTGTGCTGTGCTAGCTGCATCGCGTCACCACGTGTACGTTTTTACCTTGTGTTTAGTACGTTTAACCTAATTGCAGTACGTTTTTACATAATTAAGGTGAACTGACTGCTTTACTTATTCAATATGTATTTTTCAATTTACTTGTTTTCGAGCTCCTTTTTTTCCGGCGAATTTTACCGAAATTGTTTTACATAACAATAATTACCTAATTATTTTTTACATATCTTTTTGAGAGTGCACAAGGCTGCCGCACCCCTAGAACATCCCAAACGGAACAAAACTTAATTTATAACGCCGCTTGCTCTTACGATTGGCTCTTTGAATCCATGTTCCAATACTAAATCTTTTAAAGGAGCTGTCGAACTTTACTATACGTATACATTTACCCGATCTTGGACCTTGGACCTTATTCTACCTAGCACAACTTCTTTTCAGTCCTTCGCCAAAATATTAGACGAAGAACTTGGTCTTACATTTCATGCCATTTGATTTACCGTAACTGTAAGCCGCAGACATGTATGACTGGTGCTCCGGACTCGAGTCCGACTCGAGTCCCACTTTCCGTGACTCGGACTCGAACTCGAGTCACGATGACGAATGACTCGGACTCGACCCTGCGGACTCGGACTTTGATTCGGACTCGGCCTGCGTGACTCGCTCGGGACTCGACCAAAGTTACCACAAATCACTTATTGATTTAACAATATAATTACACTTTTAGTTTGTAGACGATGCTCTCCTTATAGCAAGTGATACAGTCAGTGCGGTGCAGAGGAAACACATCTAAGTACTGCTTTGTACATACACAGCGCGTGAAGCTGGCTTGTTTCCGATATTACCCCAGCGCCATTATATTCCTGATATTGCGCAAATGCAAACTTGATAGTGTTCGGTTCCCGATTACCCTTTCCAGACCCCGGTACCTTGCCTTATTTGACATGGTATACATGTTTTTCCAGTCAGTGAATTAGAGAAAAGCTGTGAATAATTGAAACATTTACACGGTGAGGTTTTAGCAGTACATTGTACCTCAATATATTATTTTCAGTATCATGTATATATTAAAGGTGACTCGTGACTGGGACTCGGACTCGACCTTTGTGACTCGTGACTCGGACTCGACCTGCATGACTCGGACTAGGACCGGGGACCCGGGAGAGGTGACTCTGACTCGGACTCGACCTACATGACTCGGGACTCGGATTGGGACTCGGTAGAGGTGACTCTGACTCGGACTCGATCTGCATGACTCGACTCGGGACTCGGACTCGAGGTTTGGGGACTCGAACATGGTAAGCCGATATGAAATGGCAAATTCGAGGTAACGCATTGCTGTTTGACAAGAGTACCAGCGGGTCATTATTTGTATTGAGTCTACACAAACCAAGGGACTCTCTCAGGCCAGATGAACTTCAACTTGACCCCCAAACTACCACACTGAAAGTCTACAAACGATCCCAGTGATTACTAAATTGTCGGTAATCTAATAATAAATACCAAGCAAGCCACTTGTAGTGGATGGAGTGTGCGATCACTGCCGTACTCGCCCAGAGCTACAGTACGACGCGGGTTTAAAGGGGACATCGTCCTGAAATCGCCGAAATATGTACATTTAAGATTATTTATACTTATCCGATTTGAAAGGTCTATTTGAAAGGAAACTAACCGCATGTCGTACTGTTGCTGAGAAGATACGGGGGAAAAAACGGTTGTAAATAAAAGTCTCCATCATGCCCCAGCTTCTGTGTCCATGATGTCAGACGATTCAAATGTACGGTACGCGTCGTATGTGAAGTACCACGGAGCTAAAGGTCCATGGAAGTACACAGCACTGCAGGTTGGACGACGTCTTCATTGCTTAAATGCAAAAAGACGTCGTCCTGGGCTGACCATGGGCTGACACAGCACCAATACGTCTAAACATAAAGTACTAAAACACATGGTCTACACACGTTGTTTCCCGTACATCCGCAGAATGCATGCAGTGCACATGTGGAACTTGTGCGAGTGGAATCGCGACTAGCACAAAACAGCTCAATTTTTGATAGTCAAAATTCGTTCTCGCAAGAATAACACAAAACGGCTAATTGTTTTCTTTTAAAGTAACATCTTTCCGTTTACACACGCGTTTTGTAACCCAATTGGGCATATTTCATGACGTAGTGTCCCTTTAAGCATAAAGCACAGTCAATCTGTTTCACATTGAGGATTTCTGAGCATAATAAACGAGGAGTAATTTGGGGTCATTACTGGGTTTTTGTTGTATCACTTTACACATCTTTAACTCGATGTTTGGTTACATAATGGCAAATCGTAACCGATGCACTAAAAGAACGAGAAGCGGTATAATGCGTTTCAATATGTTTGCGCGGGATGGGCCATGTCACACGAGGTAATTTACAGGCAAATTGTTCCGGGCAATCTCCAAGAATAAGGCTCTGAGAAATTTCCGTAAACTGAGATTTTCTTCGTGGTTCATATTACCTCGCAATGCATTAATTGCCTGGCTACAGTTGCCTGTGAATACTGCCCCGCGTGACTAGGCCCTTCATACGATTTAATATGATTCTAGATTAAAAATTGAATTAATTAAAGTGATGCCAGCAGAGGCAATATGTATGTCCGGAAACTGATCCCTATGCCTCTCTGCATGGGACAGTATTGTTGTGTCAATCTTGGCTTGATGAAAATAATACTCTTCTTCGTTCCCGCTGCGGTTTTGTTTCGGCACCTATGATTAGATG